CTCAGCTGACAATGTACCTTTTCGTTTTCCAACCATTACTGTATTTTCTTGAGCTGTTAATATAGATAACGTGCTCAAATACAAACTATATAAAATACAGTTATTGTGAAGCATTCTCTCAAACCTGATAAGGAAATAGTTATATTGCTGGGAAGTAAAGAGGAGGGTCCATAGCTTCATTCCCAAGTTAGGCAGGTGCTGAGGGTGCTCCTCCATGTAGAAGAGAGATTGCTGCATAATCCATACATTACAGAGTGTGCTGTACTCAGCGCACACAGAACCCTCAGTGGCTGCAGTAGAGAAAGAGGTGAGAAAGAATTAATTTCATCACATTTATGTATTTTTTTCCATCATATTGAATACAAAATACTTGTGTAAGCAACAAAATGCGTTGTTTTCTTTTTTTGTTGAACAACATTGTGTGATTCCATTGATACAAACTTCCAACACAATAAATATTCATGTTATTCCTTACTGAACACTTCCTGAAAGGATCCTTCTCCCAGCAAGGAAATGAGCAAACCTCACCCTAGCACTGCTACAGCAGCACAGAGAGGAGTGGTGAGGCTGAGAACAGAACAGCTTGTTTTGGCATGCTCTGCCTTCTCTTTGAAGTTGCTTAAATTATTTAAGAGTGCCATGAAGCACTTTTTATCCTCGAGTTGGTCTTTGTGGATTCTGTTTTAGCAATAATGTTAGAAGTATTTTGACTGCCTAGTTTATTTACTTTTTTTTTTTTTTTTTTTTTTTTTTTTTTTAAAGAAAGGTCTATAATTACCTTTTGCATACAAAGCAAAATACCTGGAAGTTGTGAACATGTAATTCTTGCCACCTCTTGAATTTGAAATTTGTCTCACCAAAATCTGAATCACTTTGTTATATAATCTGTACTGCACTGTGAAGGTCCCTGACTGCCTTTTATGTAAGATAAATTTGAAAATGCTAATAGCAAACTAGAGTCATTTACACCCCTGTAATACATCCTAGCCTACACCTATGCTGTGATGCACTGTTTGTAATTGACAATAAAAACTCCAGTATACAGAGTCCCCTGCTGTATGAATTACAGTTTCTGCTGTTTGCAGTGGTTTGTTCATACTCCTTACTGTTGTCTCCTGAGATCTAATAGAAACCCTGCTGTTTTCTTAACACGCTAAGTTTTTTAATAGTTTGTTCCTGATCTGAAAACTTAGCACATACACACACACTAAAAAAGCACAAACAACTGTGACCATTGGTTGAGTACTGAAAATTATGTGTGTTTGCTATTTCCAAATGAATGAGTTTATAAGTGAGATATTTTTTTCCCGTGTTATTCCCATGGATTAAAAATCTGTTTAAATAGGATTGACTTGTTGAGAACAGTATCTAAACATGCATTTACTAATTCCTTTTATTGGGTGTGATGCTGAATTATGGTAGTAAATGACAAGAAGATAGCTAAAGAAAACCCTTTGCAGGAGACAGAAATTTCTGATTTATGAAATGTGTGTAAGTGGAGGCTTAAGCTGAGGAAAGTCAGCCTTCATTTCTCTGTGCCACTAGATCCAAATAAGGCAAGCTACGTGTATGAGAAGACTGGGACAAAATGTCCTCAATAATTTTTATTCAAACACTTCTGCTCAGAAATCATAGAATATTTCATGTGGATTTATTCAAAATAAAATGTTTGATTTCTGAATTTATATTTGTAGGATATATATATATATATATGTTTTTTTTTTTGTTAAAGCAGAAGACTAATGAGCTTTAAGTGGAAGAAACGATTTATTTTGGATAAGAGTTCCAAATTGGCCCCAAAGTAGATGTTTTATTATTTTACTTCAGCAAAGTGTAAGAAATTGATTTCACTTTTATGGAAGAAGATTCAACTTCCTAAATTCTGTTTGTTTAGGAAAAAAAAAAAAAAAAAACTAACAGTTGCATTATTTAAAAGTATTATAGTTAAAAAATCTTCAATACAAACTCTGTATCCATTTGTCGTGCTGTTAGTTCAAATGCCACCCTGGGTTATTCTGATAGGCTTCCGGGACTTCACACCCTTCCTAGTGGGAAACCCACCCCTTTCACAGCCCTGAAACACTGGAGAAGGAAATGAAACCAAATACGTGTAATTCAAGCCAAAATAACCCCATTAGCAAAATCTGTATGGGCTTATAAGATGGTCAGTTTGCAAAGAACAGATGACAACTGATTCTGCTTGGAAAACAGAAAGCGGTTTTCCCTTTGCCTGCTTTCTTTAAGTACACAGCATGAATGCCAAGTGCTTGTTGCCAGACGTCAGCTGTTGACCAATGCAAAAAAGAATGAGGATTCTATTAGAGAAAGCAATTGTAAAGAATTTGTTGCCTTTTTAGCTGTTTATTTTCTAAGCAAATCTTCAGATTCTAATAGTTCTGAGAATTTCCACTTTTGCCTCTTGCATAAGTGAGAGAATCAGGTCAGCTCAGTTCCCACATTGAATGGCTTGTTGACAAGGAAAAAATTAATCAAAGGAGCTACAGCAGAATAAATTACTCCCAAATAGCTTCCCCACAGATACTTATTCTGGAATAAGCATGTCTTTTTAATGGTTGGTACTCGTTCTGCCCGACCAATGTTTTCCACATTTCCCAGGTACACAGCAACTCGTGCCTTGCAGGGAGTGCCTGGGCTCCTTGAAGAAGAGCTGTCACTGCTGGAACTGCTCCACCAGTACAGACCTGACCTGAGTGGTCACAGCCTGTCACATCAGAGCCCACGCAGGGTTCTTCAAAAGTATAGAGTAAAAGCAAGGGATTTTACTTTCTTCATTGCCTTTTCAAGTCTTGTAGAATTCTCGCAAATATTTGCAGTCTTGGAGGGGGTAGTGGTAAACTTGGTGCTTTTTTCTGCTCAATTCAGATATTTAGAGTATAGAATGACTCACTTTGGACAAAGAAAGGGGAAGCAGTAGGAATAGGTGTTTTTTTTCCTTGCAATTCCAAGTTTGCTTTTCAACCCAAAAAATACCTTTTTTTTTCTTCCTTCATAAGAGCATATTGAAACTCTCTCCTTTGGCTCACATTGCTTACTTCTCCTTCTATTTCATGCATGGCTTTCTTTAGAGTGGAGATCTCTTATTATTTCAGCTAACAGATTTCCCAGCAAATTTAAATAGCTTTTTAGGTTTTCTTGAATATAAGGTGACTGCTACTCTCAAAGTCAATGAGCTCAGTATGGCCCTGTGAAGCTCCTCTCCCACTACTAGCAGTTGCCTGTTGCATTCCAGGACTGGGAGAATATGCAAGAGCTGACCTGTAGCTATGCCAGCTTTGCCAGACCTGAGGGGCTCGGATTATTGTTATTAGCTATCTACAGTTGCCCTTGTCTCATCATCACAAGAGCTAGCCTGCACTATCTGATTTCCCAGCTGCAGTAGCAGAGATTTGTTAATATTTTTTGCTTAGCCAAACAATTACCTCGCTCAAGGTCAGGCAAAGATTTTCAGGAAAGCCCATTTCATTATACTTGTTTGTTCAGTTGAAGAGCTTTTGCTTTCTTTTCAAAGTGCATATTTTATGCTGTTATTTACTGAATACTCACATAGTGCAGTGAGCTCTATTGCGAAAAGAGCAGAGTTGTCTGAGAGCTGGTCTTGCACCCATTAAAGTCAATGACAAAACGACAGCAGCTTCTTTGATAATGCAGTTTGCCCTGAGGAGGTAGGGTTTTATAGGCACAAAAGTATCGGCACAAACAGAGCAGGAAAAGTCAAAGTTTGAAGTGAAAATATCTGACAGTACGTTGATGTTGTAGCATTCCAATTTTAACACAAGGGAAATCCATGCATTGATATGATGACTCCACACTTACACAGGCTGACCTTGTTAAAAATACAAAGAAGAGATGCCTTTTTTGAAGGTTAAAGGATATGAATCCTTACTGTTCCTTTATATGCATTAGAGTGTTTGTCAACCCAAGGAAGTTAGCAACTGATAAGTCACGAAATGGATTTTTAAGAGGATAGTTGGACATTTTACCATACCTTATTAAATCTGACAGTTTCTGCTGAAGTATGTAATTTAAGCAATTTGGACGTCTGGGCTGCTGATGGAAGCAATTAAATGCTGATGGCCCAATTTTAAGTTTTATTTAGGTGTTTAATTTAGATTTACTTCAGTGCTTCACTTTGCTTTTAATCATAAGATTTGGACATTTAAGTAAATTACTGTCACCCTCGAATATAGCTGCAAGTTTCTCCATGAAGAAGTGTAGATTTTTGAAAAATCAATTATTGCTTCAGTTTTTCGTGCTTGAGGAGTGAAGGGAGGAGAAACAGATTTGTTTTCACTCGCCAAATTTGCTTTCCTTGGACGTACATCCATGGAGAAGACTGCACCATTCAAGTCACTGGGATAAAGCCTGTATGGGTGTGTGAATTTGTTTATCACCAACTGCCAAAGGACTGTAGTCATGAATCTGCCCTTTTGGGATCATCTCAGTATTGCAACCAATAAATGAAAACAAACATCCTGAAGCACATCTAAAGCTATCGTAGGGCTTAAAATGGAAGTTAGAAAACTGCTACAAGGATCTTTTTTTACTACTGTAGTAAGGATGCTCATGGAACTTATATAACATTTCAGATTTTCTTGTTATTGCAGCCTGCTTAGTGAATGTACATCCTTCACAGGTGTGAACACACAGTAGGGGACAGTGAGAGAGATCAGCTGCCCCATGTGGCAGTATTGTGTAGTGATTTTCTTCTGTTTGTTCTGCAGTCCCACTCTTCCCTGGACACTGGGTTTGTAACTTCTATTTTGTCATTGTTATGTGGGGATTTTATGAGGTGATACAGTGTTAATAATTAGAAACACCTACCCGGAATGAAGCATGTATATAAATGCTTTATTGAGTTTGAATGTATCATAATCAGCATGCCTTCCAATTGATTAAATACCTCCTGTGCTTTCCAGTAATAAATGCTGTGCTTCTCAGAATCACTCAGTCCTCTGAACTTTCTATTCTCTTTGTTTCAGATGGCTTGACAGACTGCGTAGACCCTGACTGCTGCCAGCAAAACAACTGTTATGTGAGTCCTCTCTGCCAGGGTTCGCCTGATCCCCTTGACCTTATCCAACACAGCCAACTGCCTTTCTCTCAGCATCCTCCAAGGCTCTTTTATGATCGAATCAGATTTCTTATTGGGAAGGAAAGCACTCATGTGATCCCAGGAGATATCTCATTTGAGAGCAGGTGAGTTTTATTCTAGATGTAATGCCTCTGAATATTGAGAACAGCAAGGAAGTTACTTGACTAGGAGAAAGTACTGTGTAGATTATGGAGAAGTCTTCACTGACAATCCAAAAGTATTTTAAAAGATAGCAAACTTTGAAGCCCCAACAGCTGTGGGTCTTCCTTATCATATTCTCATTGTTACCCATCTAGCTTATAAAAGCATCACAGTAACTCTACTATTCTTATTAAAAAGACTGAACTGCTGTGAACCATCAGCACTTGAAAAATAAGTGAGGGGACGTTCAACTCTTTGTGCTGCAAATGCACGTAATGGCAGGAAACAAATGTGTTGAATTCATATATGCTACTTGATAGAATTTGTTTAGTATTCAGAGTAATAAATTCAACATGAGTTATTTATGTATAATCTAGCTATCTAATTACATATGCATAATTTTTTTTTTTAAATTACATATGCATAAAGAGTATGAATTTAACTATCTTGTGTTGCAGATAATTCTTATGCTGTCATGTAAACAGTAGTGTGTGATTGTTGAATGTTTTGGAGATTGGCTTACGCTTCAATAGGAAAAGCGTGCAATAGAAGAGGAGCACTTACATGCTCAGAAACCCAGTAACACACATTTTCTTGAGCATTTGATATATAGGGACATATAAGTTTTTATGCTGTAGTTCACCTGGGAAGCTATAACTTACATGCTGACAAAGAGATCTACAAATCATCCACATCACCTAACTATTACCCTGTCAACTAGGCATATACATTAGATAAACCATGTTCCAGTAATAAGGGCATAAGATTTTTTTATTTTATTTTCAGAGCACAGTAAATAGCACTTAGGTTACAACCTCAACTTCATTCCATAGCAGCACACAAATTCAGTGCACTTTGTCTTTGTACTTTATTAATTATTAATAAAGTAAATATGTAAACAGAGTCTTTATTGATCTGTAATACCTAGACGTTTAATCAGTATTAATAACGAAACAGGATGTTATAAATATGTAGAACAATAGGGCATGAGAATGAACTGTGTGAAGAGCACCACCTGACAAAGATGGGTCTTTCTGAGTACAGCACTGATGGAACAGTGCCATCGCACCTCTTACAAGATCCTTGGCTGGCTGTACATGCCATGCAGCAGACTGCAGTTTAAAACACAAGTCACCAGTGAAAGATTTTCCTCATGGAAATGTCTCACCATGAGGTGTTTTCACAGAGGAGGTCAGCACTCAAGTCGCCTGAATGGAGTTCTGTGGCATTGCAAATGTTAGCAGCCAGATTGCACGTAATCCCATCACTATGCTTTTGTAGATATAAGGAACTGATCTTTTAAAGCTATCATTGATGGGATTTAACTTGGATTTAAAAGCTTTTCCTGAGTGTTTCATTTCTTTACCCTAATGTCTGGTATGCTTTAGGAGAATGAAGAGCATTGAAGGTCTGTGTGTGAGCAAGCAGCCCATCCTTGCCATGTTTTCATACTTCAGGCTTTATAATATAAAGGAATGTGACTTGTAGTTGGGCCAGTGCATTGTACACACCCCAGATATCATTTCCTCACTTGGTAAAGAGATCAGAGATTTTTTGGGATTCTGATGGGGCTGCTTCTGCATTTAGAGTTAGGGCAGTGCCTCGAGATTTGCCCTGCACCGTGTCTCTGGGGTTTTGTCAGCAGTGATCTGCCATGTATGGGGCACCCTAAGGAGTTCATCGGTCTACACTTCACTTGATCCCCAAGTCTTCCAGGCTGTTGAAAAATTGCTCATCCATAAGTCAAACATTATTAAAAACTGCCGGAATTTTCCTTAAGGATTGTGGATAAGCAAAATCTCAGAAGGAAGCAGTAGCCTGGCAGCACTGTATCTGTTCAGAATCTTCCCCTGACATAGTCAGTCTGGTTGTCATCTATGTCTGTTTGTCTCCTGGGAGTTAAGATTATAGGAAAAAAAACAAAAAAACATATAGGTAGATTACTATTACTACTGTAAATACATCAAAAATCTGTGATCCTGCCTATCCAAAGAAGACCAAAGAATATTTGAGTTTTCTAATCTCCTTTTGGCTACTGCTGAAGAGGTTTTGTCTGTGCAGATGATATTAACTCTTGGCTGTTTGCAATGCCGTATTTGTAGCATTAGTGGTTAAATGAGAAGTTCTGTAAGGATTCATTTATTTCAGAGCATTGGCATCCATTCACACTGGTGCTCAGATATAGAGTTTTGCAAAGCCCTAACTGGCTTTTTTTTGTTGTTTTTTTCCTTTTTCCAAGTCTCCGAGATCATTAGGAGGATCATTAGGATTACAGAAGAAATATCTATTTCTTCTTCTATCTGAAAACTGATGTTCTCAGTCTTCTGATGAAAATGACATTGTGAAATGTATTACTGTATTGTGTGGCAGGGGTACTCCAGTATGGGTGATGTTTACATGAATCTCACTGTAGATAATGCTGATTTCATGTTGAATTGCTTAGGGAGAGCTATCAGAAAACAGTAAAGATTATCTCTGTCCTTAAGCCTGAAAGTGTTTGGTCTCTGCCATATTCCTGGCATTTTCATCTGACATACTAAAATGAGTAGTTCTGACAACTACTGGGACGTCTGTCCTTTTGCATCATGGACTTTATATTAGATCTAATTTTTTAAAAACTAGGCTTCTAGAGCACAGTGTTTGTTCAGTGCATAGACCAAAATTAGTATTAAGGAACTCATTGTTTTCAAAAAATATATTTTCTTCTTGTGTCGTTCGCGCAGGGTTTTTGACATGCTGCTAACCTGAACAGTGACATGCTTGAAGGCAGATGAGACAAATTCTGAATAAATGGAAATGTGCTAGCTTACATCAGGAATGATTTTGAGCCACTACATGTAGCATGGTGTAGAGGATTAAAATGTTTTATCAACTTCCTTTCTCAGGAAGATTTTCGGCTTGTTTCTTTGCTGAGAGTTTTTAATGCATGCTGCTGGCAAGCTATTTGACTCACTGCAAATTGCCTACAAAAGGGGTCCAGTGCATGGTACTGAATTAATTACCCTTCAAAGGCTGCTTATAGCAACACTGTCAGCGGGAAGAAATGAATGTACCTTGCTCGCCTTTAGCTTAATTTCTCTGATTGAAGGCTTTAATCAGAAATGTAATACAGTAAATGACATCTTCTGGTAATGTGACACTTGCGAATTCACACGTTGCTTGACGGAGTTCCACATCTGAGCTTAATGTCTCAGCCTGAGGTGCTCAGAGAATATTGGAAGCTCAACACGCTAAACAAAAGCAGAAAAATAACAAATAAGAAGTAGCGGAGCAAGACAGAATGGTGGTGGAATAATGAAGTGCTTTACAAGCAGTGAAAGAATGCATCTGGAATTTTAAACTGCTGTTTATATTTTAAATTAGAGATGTCAAACAAACTACATGGCAGAGATTGGAGAGTCACAGAGCTGAGCTCTTCACTTTTACGCACAGAATGACCATGAAGCATTTACAGAGAAATTCTACTTTTTTTAGGCCACCTACAACCCATAGGAATCTCTGCTTTCTCTCAACTGCTCCCTCTGGAGCTGCAGCTTTAGAACAGCATATCAGGGGACTGGAAACATTTTTAATACATTGAAAACACAAAGGCAGCTTATCAGGGACTTGTTCCCTTCCGAAATACTCCTAATTGTAAAAGTCATTTTTGCACTCACTGTAAAGTTTAAAGATCTGAACAACCTTACTCCAAGATCGTGCAGTCTTTGCAAGTTAAATGGCTGTAGGATGAGTGGTATGTGTTGTTACCCCACATGAGAAATCAAAGCAGGTCAGTCACAAATGTGTTGAATAAGCCTTAGAGGCTAAAAATCCAGGAGGAAAATGCAGCACATTGTGGAGGCCTAATGATGTTTAGAGTTTTCTTCATTAAAATTAAGAATAGCAGTGAGCAGTAGCAAGGTCCAACAAAGAGGGTGAATTTCCTCACTGAGGCGAGGAAAGAGTGAAATAGAGGTGGAGTCAGACGACTGAGGGGAAAGAGCCCTAAAAACTCTGTTAAGGAAAGGAATTAAGCGAGATCTTCCGCAAGCCAGTGCGCTCCATTCGGAGTGTGGTCATCTGCTCTGTGAGCTGTCAGGACCCTGGGGAAGCAGGGCCAGTGGCTGCAGTGTGGGGACGTTCTGTTACTTCCCAGAGCCCTGCAGATTCATGCTGGCCATAAAGTAACTGAAAAAGGTCTTAATGCCTGCAGTAAATGCAAAAATTAGAAGTAATTCTGATCAAACGCCTGGCGGAAGATTTAGTAGGTGCTGGTAATTCAAAAAGAGGCCAAAGAGTGAAGACTCTTCAACTTGAGTGGGTAGTAAAAAGACAGTAAATAATGAGAACAAATGTGTCGACACAAAGGAAGGTTTAGAACATATGAAATCTAAAAGAGTGGAAAGACAGTTCAGTACAGATAAACGTAGAATAATGAGTTTTAGGAGTCTTTATCACATAGTGTAAATGTGTGTGGCTTGTAAAATATGATGAATAAAAAAAGGAGCAGGAAGTTGAAAGATAAGTCTCTTAATATTATTTATGAATAATGAGAAGTGAATGAATAGAGGAAAAGAACTGTGTATGAAATAATGAAGACTTTGATGAGTTGTTATCACAGAAATCTGTACACTTGATAAAATATGAGGAAATAGTGGAGTCAGAAGATAGATCTGTGGAATGAGGATCAGTGAATGAACAAACAGGAGTACTAGAACAACGTGCTGAATAATGATGACTCCTACAAGTCTCTCTTAGACCCACAAGCTTTTTAAACATGGACTGCACTAATAAAAGGATTGGAAAGTGAGAGATAAGTCTGTCGATGTTAGAAATGCGAGAAAACAATTGAAACCAGTAGATACTATTCTAATACATCAGAGAGTAATTGAGCCTGGCTTTTCTTCTTCAGTGAGTCTTGAGTGTCTGTTGAAACACACAAGAGTTTGATTGCCTTCAGTGGAGCAGCGGACTTTGCCCACAGCTCAAGCCACAACCAACTTAGTTAATGTAGGGAGCAGAAAGGTGCGTACTGACATTAGTGCAGCATTTCCCATTCCTCTGAGAACTCTCGTCTACTTTGCTTATAATTAGTATCTTTCTATGTCCTGGGAGCATGGAATTCTTACTAACAGCTATGGTGAATAGCATAGAAAAAGAGGTTGTTTTTTACCAGTTGCATTTTCTCAGGTCACAGTCAACTCAATTTGATGATATCATAGCGGTAAATTATTGTTCTGTCAAGTGGCTTTGGATCTTAGGAAACAAGTCCAGATTTTCAGAAATTTATGGTCTCTAATTCACATATATGATTTCACTGGATCCTGATCAATTAGTCTCTCAAGGGATATTTCTTAAGTTTATATACAGACTCTTAAATAATTCCCACTTAAGGCCCCATGTTTTCCCTTTCGGTTACCTATTCACACCACAAAGTTGGTGTGTTCCTATTGGGGTCTGCTGCAAACTTTCAACTTGAAAGGGAAAAATTACAATGTCTAAATTTATGCTTATTGGTTATAATAAATAATACCAGTTGTCTTTATAGACATCCTAATGTTTTTGACTCTACGTGTCTTAACATTATCCAATTACTTCTGCCTGCACTGTTCAGTTCATTGTGTGAAAGCATATTTCCAGGAAATTTGTGCAGTTGTGTCATTAGATCCTAAAGCCTGGATCCTTGCAGCCAGCAGAGCTGTGCTAATGTAGAGTACCTGAGGGCACGGGGCAAAATGCTGAAAGGTATTTCAGTGGAATATAGATGTGTAAGAAAATCTCACCAGGTCTTAATTTGCACAGTGAGAATATTTCATATGTTATTCTTCATCCTTGATGGTGTTTTTCTCCTTTATTCTTCAGTCTTCAAATTTATAAAAGGCCAAAGCTCAGAGAGCATTCTAAGGTGAAAGTAACAGTCTTAAAAGACAACCGTACAAATTTAGCGGGGACAGAAGGAAAAAATTGTCATGAGTAAAGCACTCATACAGAAGGATTGGAGTGAGTTATCTGGTGAGGATATAGACAAGCATCTGTCTGGAGTAATGTAGGCATAGTTAATCTTACCTGAGGCAAAGGAACAGACAAGATTAAGTCTTGTATTTCCTTTCAGCTTTCATTTTGTATGATTTTGTCAGCCTATATTTGGACCCACTTATGATTTCACTTTCCTACCTGTTGATTTTGGTGCATTCTGTCATGCTGCCATATTCCATCCTCTTTAGTGGAATGGGAAGATTTTTATGCTGGAAAATGGCAACAAGTTCAACGTGTACTACAGGGAATTTCAGAGGGCATAACCTGTTCAAGTGCTCTTTAGATTTACCAATGTAACTTTCTGAGGTTGAACTATGATCATGTGTCTCACTGCTGCCTTACCGCATTAGTTCAGGTTTTTTTTTTCTAACAGGCAGCAACGCCCTATTCTTAGCAGCAGAGAAAGAGGTTTCATTCTCCCCTTTCACAAATCATCACCACTGGAGCTGCAGCAAACTAAATCAGTGAAACATTTGCATTGATATTCAATGGCAGAACAAATGGTGTCCTGAAATGTAGACAGAAAGGGAAATGCATTCCTGATACACTAACGATTCATAGGGCAACCTGTGCAACTTCTTCATTATAATGTTTTTTCAAATCGATCTTTTGGGCTTGTTTGAATTTTCATTCAAAATCAAGTCATGATGACATTACAGCAATTCTCCCTGCTTGGGGCAGAAGCGTAGCTCAGTTTCCGAGTTCAGTACCCTTCTCACTGTCCTGATGAGTCTGATGTTGTTGCCTCAATGCTTTTTCTTGCAGACGTGCATGTGTCATTCGTGGCCAGGTGGTAGCAATAGATGGAACTCCTTTGGTTGGTGTGAATGTCAGCTTTCTACACCACAATGAGTATGGATATACCATCAGTCGACAAGATGGAAGGTGAGATTTTTATATACAGTCCAGATTATTTTTTTTTTTAGTTTGGATCTATCTACCTCTGTCCCTTCATGTGCAATATTCTCATAAAATTCACTCGTCAAAGTGTGGACTCAGGATGCCATCTGACTCTGCTTTGGTAGCATACCTGTTAGAGCTACCTGTGGAAAAGAGGCAAAGAAGAAAGGGAAAAAGAAAAAAAAAAAAAAAAACTGAACAGAAACAAGATTAGTGACATTCAAACACGTGGAGTCAAAATCTGACAATAATGCTGCACCAGCACATCCCTGACATTTGAAAATGTTCAGTAGTCAGGCTTTCCAGAGAATTCTGTCTTCCCTCTTTTTTCTGTCTCCTGTTGTAAATCTGGGAAGTAGTTTATTGAAGCGTCAATGAAGTTAACTCCTTTAGCTGATCATCTAAGCCATACAAGTAAAACTGGGGACGGAATCTTCACAGAGACAGAACTGTCACGCTGTTGCTCTGCATCCTGTCCAGCATTCCATCCCTTCCCTGACCTAATCGACTGAGCTTAGTTCTCAAAGACAGATGAGTTCCTATATATTCTACATTGCCCTGCAGGGATGGTCACCCATTTGCAGTAGGATCATGATGTACTCTTAAACTTCAGATGTATTAAGCTTCTACTGGCTTCATCTTTCTTGGCTGTGTTACGAAAGACAAGAAGCCAGAAGCTCTCTTCCTGCAAGGGGAGAGTGTAATTTGTCACTTTTTTGTTTTGTTTGTTTGTCACTTTATCACCATAAGGAGCATGCATGTTTATTTTACTTTACTTTCTTGACTTTCACACTATTGAAAGTTGGTAATTACCATTTCTTATTTATGCTAGTCTGGATAAAATTGTTGCATGGAAATATGCTACCTGTATTTTGCTGTGAACGTAATCGGTGTCATTTGAGAAATGTGATGAGATATGCATAATTAAGCCTGACTTCTTATCACAGTTTGTTACCATCAAAAGTCTCAGAAATAGATGCATTCAGTAACACAGACAGCGAAGTATCTATTTACATATTGTCTTCTGTTGCTTGAATGTGGATGTCAGAAACTCAGAAAATTAACACTTTGTATCTTGCCTCCTATGTCCCACTGTTTTGAAGCCTAGATATTCCAAAGTTGCTTCAATGTAACTTTCAGAAGTTCACCTGACTTATTTACAAGAGCTGATTCATTGCTGGCTCAAATAATCCACAATTTTCCCAAAATCATATCCTGCACAGAGGGGTCTCTTATTCAGTATACTCTCCTGCAACTTTCAGAAAATGGAAAAGGGATATGTTAAGAAAAGGCCTACCAGACTGTTGGGCTTCTTATTCTGCAGACCATACCCACGCAGATTATGTGTCCCTTTCCTGAGCTAGGGATTTCTTTTTCTATAATCCAAATCAACTAGGTCCAGATTCTTATTATAGGTGACTTGTTATTATCAATTCTAGTTGATAAGTTGTTGATGGTCCTGCATGGGCCAGGGGGTTGGAGATTCATGATCCTTGAGGTCCCCTTCCAACCCTGGCCATTCTGTGATTCTGTGATAAATAGAGGGGAGAGAGACAGAAGTGCAGTGAAACATTGTACCTTGCTATTGATGCCTATAGAAAGGATCTGTGGAGAGGTGAAGCTTCTTCATGAATACTGTGGTAACATCAGGAAGATACACTGGAATGATTTTACCTAGTAAATTGAGGACCATAATGAGCAATATAAAGTTTTTTGTTTGTGATGCACTGAAAGTTCTGGTAATGTAATGTTAAAACAAGAATTAAGAATTTTGTTCTGTCTTTTCCAGTTTCGACCTTGTGGCTGTGGGAGGCATCTCTGTCACCCTGGTTTTTGACAGATCTCCTTTCGTATCTGAAAAAAGGACACTTTGGTTGCCTTGGAATAGATTTGTCATTGTAGACAAAGTTGTAATGCAAAGAGCAGAGTCAGATATACCATCTTGTGACGTCAGTAGTTTCATCAGTCCAAATCCTATTGTACTCCCTTCACCCCTGACAGCATTTGGAGGCTCCTGTCCAGAAAGAGGAACTGTTATTCCAGAGCTACAGGTAATGAAAATACTTTTAAGTTAACATTTTTAAAAATGGGTTTGGTTGCTGAACAAGTTCTAGACAATGTTAAAAATTACCATTCCTCATCTTCGTTAATGTAACCTCCACAGTTATTTGGTGATAGTGACATGGAAACATTTCCCTTTGGCTGTTCTGCAAATAGCAGTGAATTTTGACACTGAAAGCCAAACAAGTCCATGCTTGTTAAACTCGGTCACCCAATTACTCCTATCAGTGAAGGATCATCTTACAATTTTATCAAACATTTCTACTGAAGGCTTACATTTTTCTGATCAGTGCACATTAACAGAAGAGCACATAGACCTCAGATCTACACAAGTTTAAAAAAAAAAAAAATTAAAAGAAGGGTTTCGCTCAAGTCAGTCATTAAAATTGAATTCAAAAGTTGCAGTTTCAGACTTTCAAACCAGTTTGTAGATGTGGAGTATGGTGAGTGTTCTCTGTACGTATTCTGCTTTAATTTTTTCTGCTGTGAAAACACTGCTACCAAGTAGGGAGCAATGAAAGCAATGAACCGTTGTGATGTTACTCATCGCAGTGAGGTTAGCGTAGATCTCTTCAGTACTGTTACACAAGATGCTTTTCTCCTTCTTCACATTTTGTTAATATTTTAAAATACTTTATTCCTTCGTTCAAAATAGAAGGAGGAGAGGGGAAGTCTTGTCATGATTTATTATTGAAATCCCTATTTATTTATAGAAATGAACAAAACCATTCCTAAGTTACAGATGAACAGTACAACATCACCATACATCAATGTGAGACATTCCACAGAGTTCCTTAAAGACTCCAAGGGATTTTTCATCTGTTCACATCTTCTTTACAATGGCTTCTCCAGCGATATGTTAGCTGCTTTTCTTTTCTATTATTCTTTGCAACGTAGAGCACTTTTAATATGATCTTTTGGATTGTTTACATTTAAATATCTTTTATTCTCGAGTCTCTTTTATGTGTTTAGTACCACTTTGTATTAATCTTGCCTTTAACTGCTCTTAATAAAGGTGATGTATGTAAAATGCCCCACGAGATACAGCAACACCAGTTTTAGGTCACGTTAAACTAAACCCCACTATTAGTGTATGTTGTTTCCACAGAATTCAAGCAGTAAGATCAGAAACAGATCTTGGTTCAGCCAGCTGGTGACCATCGTCAAAAAACATATGAAGTGAAGTAATGAACTGAGAAGAACTAAGAAATTTATAACTGATGTGCACCAGTAAGGAAAAATGGGTTACATTACTCCACACGAGGTCTTCCTGGTTGTTTCTTAAAAAGAAAACAACAATGAGGTCCATAAAGATGCAGTCTACTCAGAGGGAACTTGGCCCCTGTCTATTTTTCAGCATTGGAGGGTCATTAGAGTGTCAACTTGTACAGTACTGGGAAAAGAGCAAAAAATAACCCAGAATAATGCGAGAAGGAGGTACATTAGCATGTATTAATGCATGAATATTTCTTCCTGCTTTTCTATTAAAAATAAGAAGATGTCAGATGTATGACAGAGGGGGCAGCTGGGATGTCAGCAGGAAAGAAGGGGAACACTGCAAATCAGGAACAGCAAAGGGAGCAGGATTTCCCTGGCAACACTGCGTTTCATATGTTGAAAGGACAAGTGCTGGCAGGCCTCCAGCTGTACTGCAGCAATGCTGTGGCAGTGACACTGTTGCAGTACATAAATAAGGATGTTGTGAGAGTGAGGGAATTTATTGTTAAACAACAAAGATGGGAAAATGGGAATATAAACAAAACAGTTTGTATTTTTTCTGAACTCAGCTAATTTAAGATTGTGAGAGACTGGCTTGTTACTGAAATTCACTCAAATCACTGACCTTTTTAAGGTTTTCAGTGTTAAGGTTTTCAGTGGCTTTGGAGTGACTGTGCTGGCATTCTTCAGGAAGCTGTTCCCCTCTCTTGCCTGTTCCCCATCTCAGCCATTCCTACAAGAGCTCCTTTCAGTAGATCACAAGAGCTAAATCCCTTGTTGTAGCTCGGAGGCTCGTGCCATTCAGAAGGTTGAGGCCAAGCTTCTCCATTTCCCACGCAAGCTCACTGTCTTTGCAGTCCCTCTCGCAGCAGCTGGGAAGTTGATATCACTCCAAATGGGCAGAGCCACTCCAGCTCTGATCCCAGAGATTCAGACGGCGGCACTGACAGCAGTGCTGTGGGATGTGAACTCTGTTGCACACCATGGGGACTGACTCACCTGTTAGCGAGATGACGGATGCCCCGACTGTTTCATCTTCACTGCTGTGTGTCCCCAGTTAGCTTGTTAGATTTCTGATGCCCTGCCTTCTAACACCATGCCCCCTCTTGCTGGAGTTTAGCCCTAGTGCAAGCACTGCTGCACAGAAGCTGGTTTATCAGGAAAGTTTTTCTAGTTTCTTTGCTCTCCCAACATTAGAGTTATTGCCTCCAAAACAGAATAGTGTCTTCAAATCATGATGTAATGTGTGAAGTGTGTGCATATTAAAATAAAATAATAATTTTAAATAAACCACTTTTTTGGTTATGTTTGAGTGTGGAACACTCATTGAGTATCCCAAATAATAAAGCGTAGGTAAAGCTATAACAGTCATCCAGATCATTATGAACTGTAGTGCTTATTACAGGGAGCTAGCATTTGCTCCTCAGTAGGTAAACATGAAGAATTATAGGAAGAGGTTCTTTATCAAAATAGATGGACCACTGTTCAGTAAATTTTCAGTGTTGGAGAGAGTTGGAGAGACTTCATCCCTGGAGGTGTTCAAGACAGGTTGGATGGGGCCCTGGGCAACCTGGTCTAGTACCAGATCTGGAGGTTGGTGGCCCTGCCTGTGGCAGGGGGGTTGGAACTTGATGATCTTTGGGGTGCTTTCCAACCCAAGCCATTCCATGATTCTGTGATTCTATACCGCGTTGCTCAGATCAACACAGAAGCGATCGCTATTGTGATCACATCATGATTGTGAATTGTAAAGTAGCCTTCTGTTGTCGTTGCGGATAAATAAATTGTGCATTTTCCATAGCCATAGATACAAGGATGTTTTATGTCTTTTTTTTTTCCCCCAAGGTGGTCCAGGAGGAGATCCCAATTCCTTCCAGTTTTGTGAAGCTGAGTTATCTCAGCAGTCGAACGCCGGGGTACAAAACTTTGCTGCGCGTTATTCTGACGCACACAACCATCCCTTCTGGAATGACAAAAGTACATCTGATCATTGCTGTTGAGGGACGCCTGCTTCAGAAATGGTTTCCTGCTGCAGCCAATTTGGTCTACACATTTGCCTGGAATAAGACAGATATATATGGACAGAAGGTTTCTGGTCTGGCAGAAGCTATGGGTATGTAGAATCACCTTGGTATAAGCAAAAGCACTAACATGAGTGAAGCCTAGAAAGTGCAGCTTATACGTTTTGTAGCCACGCTTACATTTTTTTTTTTTTTTTTTTTTTTTTAATCTTTGGCTAAAATGACTTGTAGTTTCCTAGGAATATTTATTTTCTTGTTCCTCCAATGTCATCTTTCTAATTTAATCAATTTGAAAATCCCCTTTTCCCTCTGAGAATGGCTATGTACTAACAGCATTATATTCAGCTGTCTTTGTTTTTGAATGTTACTTTGAATATGACCTTTGGTGTGTCATTTTTTCTCTCATTTTTTGGCTGTGACATTTAAAATGTCATTTCCACTTAGGGTTTGCAAAACTCTAACTTTCAGGCATTTTTTTTTTTTACATTTCGTGTCTCTAACAGTTACAACTTCTTGATTTGTTGTTTGAAGGTATTTATAAGAAAATGATCACATTAAAAAGGCTTTCTTTACCAAGCAGATATGTTGAAAACTGCAACAGGAAGGGTGTCTGTGAAAGTGCTGTTTGTTTATCCAACATTCTTTGTTATGGTTTTCATTATTTGATTCGTCTTGCTGTTTCTTTTAATTGATTCTGGGATTCTGTTTCTTAATGGACTAATCCTACATATCCTAATACCTATTTCTGTCAAGATTATATGTTTTATCAGCAAAGTTTAGAGCTGTGAATGAGTCCTATTCACTTTTTTAGTAGTTCTGGCTTGCTTTTTAAGTTGAGGGATAATAGCAAGAGGCATTGGCAGGAACAGGCTATAAAACAAGTATAGAAAGGGCTCCATGAAGCCATCCATCCTCACAAGGAGCGTGCCTCATTCTAGAGAGTAAAGTGCTAATCTGGGCAGCAGCCAGAAGCTTCGTTTAGGACCTGTCGTGTTGTCTGTGGCACGTTGGCCCATGCAAAGCCAAGAGGTGCCATCCAGGCTGCACTATCCCCAGCAGCTCCCAGCACATCTCATACCTGACTCTCTTATCACATGCTCCCAGGCAGGCTGCAAAGCAGCTGTGTGGATAGGAGATGGGAGAAAGGAGGACGATAGCACTTCCATTTTTGCTTGGAGAATGGTGCAGACGTAGCTGCTGGTGCCATAAAGGATTATGTTAGAAACAAAAATACTGAGTATGACTTTATATCATGAGGTGTACATAGGAATATATCAGAAAACAAGGAGCTTATTCTAAGACAGCAATCCCACAGCCTATTTAAGCTGATAGAAGTGCAGGCTGCTGCCAGAAGGAACGTTCCCGTGGTCCTTCCATCTCCCCTGGGCCACCACTCACATATATTTGATCATGAAATGAGCCAGATCGGGAACAAATTCAGCTGAAAACTGAAGCTACCAGAAAATAAGTGACAAATTTTCAGCTTCATTAACTTTCTGATCTGCTATGAATGCTAGTGCTGAAACACGGGTCTTCTCATTTCAGCTGGAGCTCACACATTACAATTGGCCTAAAGCAATCAAAGCTCCATCCTTAGCACAAGGCATCCTGAGCTGCTGCATTATCCCATCTGCCTCTGATCTACCACATCTGGCTCAAACCTGCAGAAGGGTGAACTGCTTTACTAAGGGAACAGTCAGGTGCTGGCACTAACACGGGAGAGCTCTCTGAACCTCTGGGTTGGCACGTGGCAGGGAGCAGGAGCATCCTTTGTAGCTCATCTCATGAAACTCCACTACTAGAGGCCAAATCTCATCTCAGTCCATACTGACAGATTCCTGCTAGTGTTTTGGAGTGAGGGAAGTTGTTAACTGGATTGTTGCTTTCACATATAAATTTCTACTAGTCCATAAATAAAGCAAAATTCCAGCATGCCCTTTGGCATTCCCACTGGTAATCAGGCAGGAGCAGAAGGGTGGTGAGGGCCTTTCTTTGGACTGTTTACATGTGCCCTTCTTAATCATTTAATTGTGGTGTAATTTTATTTTCTTTTGCTTACTTTAGTCATGCTTCTTGCAAGATAGGATCAAAAATCTTTAAGAGAACTGTTAGCATGCTTGTTAGATTGTAATAAAGTTTTAATATGACACACTGTAGTATTCAGGGGCCTTTATCTGCATCTGTTATTGTAAATTTTGTCAAAATAATTTTCTCTGCCAGTGTATTACCAATATTTAATAATGCATTCTGTTCAGATTTTATTTTAATTAAATTAAATTGCAGCAGGTTGAAGTCCTGTAACTCAGGAATATAACCATCTGCATTTGGTTTTATAACTACCATAAACATCTTTATTCTTCTTTGAGGTCGCTGACAGAAATTATCATGGAATTGTTTACAGGAAAGATGGCTTTGAGTACATTTCACCACAAAAATAGTTTTGTTTAAATTTGTTGCCAAAATGTTAGTTGGTATTTCTCTATTCCAGAAGTCTTTTTAACGAGAGACCACTTGCTTTTCTCCAAGTAGCAGCAAGGCTGATAAAATAGGACTTGTTCTTTTTGTTCGAAGTAAAAAAAATATCATGTGAATGTTAACACCAACCCTCCATGGTATAGTTTGCATGCTGCTGTAATTCAGCATAGGAAAAGGCAAGATTTCCAGAGAAACATCAGTAAATCCTTCAATATGGTCAATCTTACACTGCGTCCCCTAGAACAGGGACAAGTGATGTGCTACGTCTTACACTCCTGGATGCAAATGTAAACTCTCAAGCAGATTAGTCCGAGGTCTCCTCAGTTTATTGTTCTACTTGTTGCTTCTGTTGAGTTATATTCATTGTTCAAAGTAAGACGCTGATAAGTACAAATACTTCAGGAGGGGTTGAAGTAGAGGTTCCTGTTGTGCTTAATCATATCGTATGTTTTTATACCTTTATTTTGGAACAGTAGCAGCAGCCCTGAAACTGTGATATGCTGGGGCTAACAAATTATTCTTGATTCTTCTAAATAATTGTGTGAAAATAATAGATTTTTGGTTCAGGTGATTTCAGTAAATCTTTTGAAATCCATTTTAAGGCTGCAACTGCTCTTGCTGGCTGTTAGTGTCCAAAAAGATAGCTACTGCAATTCTTCTCCTTCTTGCAGTGAAATCTCAGTCACCTCATAAAAGAGTTATAAATGAAGTTGGCCAGAAAATAACACTCCACAATGATGTTAAAATTGAGATTGTCATTTCATTTACAAAAGCCACAGCATTTTTCAAACGCTGCCAGACACAAATACTTTTCAAGCACAGCCACTTGATTGCCTTTGTAATTTTTATGCTTCACCTTGATTATTTTACATGCAAAACAATTGAAAGGAAATTTTAATGTATGGAACATTTAATGTATGGAACATCCATTTAGATGGCTTGGGACGTCCTACATTAAGATCATCCCATTATTTCTTTTTGGAGCATAAGCTGCCTGAAAAATTCTTAGCATATGCATAGAAACACTTATGTAGACACACCGAGTGAGTGCATGTCTGAGTGTTCCTGATGGAAAGGGACAAAAAGGCAGCTAGACACTGCCTGTGAGCAGGGGAACTTTTAAGAAGGGAATGATAGTCTCTAGAGGGTGCTTGACAGCTCAGAAACATCAGATGTAAGGGGGGAATAGCAGGTGCACTTTTAGTGTTAGCTACAGCGATGTTAAGTGTGCCACTGTGGATCCATTGGCACAGATTCTCAGATGGTATGGATTGTTACGCCTCCCTTGACCTAAATATCAGCATGGTACCTCACAGCAGCTGAAACTCTGTCCTGTGGGGGTCTGTAATGATTCACTTAGCTAGGCTGAGTGACTCTGTCTTATAGGTCTTCCCTTTTCTCAACTATACACGTCTGACCCAGGATTGCATGTGTTAAGTGCCTAAATGGGGCGAAGATGCTAACATGTAGGTGACAAGTGTGAGGTTGCTTCATAGGAAAAATCTACCCTTTATCTTCCCCCTGGATTAACACCTAGAAAATAGTGTGTTTGGCTACTGAACCTTCAAGGCTCATCCCAGCACAGGGGGTCAGTGGCCATTCTGGAAGAAGCTCCGTACACACAGCTGGGCACGCAGCCATGGACTCACCTAGAAAGAGTGCCGGTTTTAGTCACAAGAGCTCCTGGAGCTCAAAAATGAGAGAATACTGAAACCTGTAGTTTTAGACATCAGCAGTACTTAAGGAGATGTGATTTTTCCAAGCCAGAGTTTAGCTGCAAAACAGGTTCTTTCTGCTAAAATAACGAAGCAGCTCTGGCAAGTGAAATTGATGTAAGGAACGGCTTTCTGCTTCCCATAAAACATTTATCTTAAAAACAAAAATGCTCCCTGCTAATCAAAATGTTGTGATTGAATCCGATAATGGAATTTTGATGGTATTATAACTATGCATGGTTCAAGCAAAATGTACCTAGAGCTGCTAGATAGAAAAAGTGAGAAGACTGAAAATGTCAGAAAACTGTGTTTTTTGAACTACATTTTATTTCATATTAAAATATATTTGAAGACATTTTTATTTTGGAAAGGCTAAAATATGTCAATATTTCCTACACCAAGCATTTGGATTTGTTGTCAGAATAGCATAATTTTCTGTTTGGAGGTCCATTTCTGTCTAACTGCAGTCCTTAGAGCAAGGTTAGGTGGAAGAATGCTGCATTTCAAAAAAAATCTAATTTATGAGAATTTGGTACCAGTGTTCTCGCACCTAGCAAACAAACAAGCAAAACCCCTTCATTGAGTTTTAATGTGGATTTTGTTTTTCTCCTTTGGCTACTGCTCAGATAATTAGCAGAAACACTAGTTGAAAAGATTGATGTTCTTAAGACAACTATAACTGATAATACAAACATTTCTCTGCTTTGAAGTGGTACTAACCATAGCTGTTGTAAGGTACTAATCTCTGAAACTCTTTAAAAAAATACTACTCAACAATAGCAATCAAGCAGAGGTAAATCCGTGCTATCATTACTTGACAGGTGAATATCAAAACCTGGAAAGAAAAATTACATAGTAGTTCACAGAGGAAGAAAAAATAGACTGATAGATCTTTAATTATTTGTTTGCAGTGTCGGTGGGATATGAATATGAGACATGTCCTGATTTTATTCTGTGGGAGAAAAGAACAGTAATCCTTCAAGGCTTTGAAATGGATGCTTCAAATCTGGGAGGCTGGTCCATAAACAAACACCATGTATTAAATCCACAAAGTGGTAAGTCGTTCCTTTATTAACTGGCCATGCAGAAGAAGAAAACAAATTCTAAAGGATTTAATTGTTCAGATATTCAGTGTTACTGTTCCTACTACTTAATCTCCTTTCTTTGATTGTGCATCCTCCTTTCTTGAGAAATGAACTGTAAATGCCATCTGAAAGGATATTTTAAATGTTCTGGCTCCCAGGTATTAAACACTAATAATCTCTAACTGGTGATCACTACAACGTTTTGGTCATTTGCATGGGAAAAGGGCACGCTCATTTAGGCTCATTTTCACACCGTTGGTAAGGAAGTATTACATTTTAGGTGAGTTTGTGTATGTTATATTCTCAGTGAAGTCTGTCATCCGACGACCAACCTTGATTAGCGGTATCTCTGGTGCCAACAAATAGAGGGAGACAGAGCAGGTGTGGAATCAGAACTTTTGAATGATGGGTGGAAAGTCCAATGTGCAGAGGCTTTTGTAGTTGCCCTCTTTGTGGAGAAGCACGGTAGATTACTCTTCAGGAGAAGCAATCCAGCACCTTTTAAAGCACTAGAAAAACTGATGTCATGCTGTTCCTTTTGTCGTGCTGTTAACGCTCCATGGAGATTCTTCAAGCATGGAGATTCTTCAAGCATGGAGACTTGAATCTATCTTATCATTCCTTTTATTTTATTCCTGCTTCTTTGCTTTTTTTTTTTTTTTCTTTTTTTTACCCTCAATATCTGTAATCAGGAATTAAACTATCAAAACAATAATTTAATACAAGTTATGCCAACCAGAAAAAATATGATTTTGCAGGTAAACTGGTATCTCGCTTTCCTTGGGAGGCTTGGGGTCAGATTTCAGCTCATAAGAACCAACATAGTGCTGGATTCAGTCAATTTATCTCAATTTGCTCCAACTGGGAGTTTTTCCACTGAAATCTATTTCCATCTGCAAACTTCTATAATGAAGATTCATGCACAGATGTATGGCTGTCAGGATTTTACAAGTTCTGTTGTTGAATGCGCAACTAGAGTATAAATATTCCAAATACAAAAGGTCAAATTTAGTTTGTAAATTATTTGGATTTCTGTTTTGATTTAAAATAGTTTGACATTTTAAGCAGCAGTTCTTTCATACCCTGTGTTATTGGTTTGTATAGATTGTCTCTTTTAAATGCCAGCTATTGACATTTAACACAAAGAGAAATCTGACCTCAGTCAGCTCAGCCCCCAACTGTGTGCCCTATAGTCTCCTCCTTAGTGCCAATTTACCACTTGCATAGTTTAATTTCAAGACTAAATTGCTGGCGCTAACTCCAGTTTGTATGGCTGTCTGCTAACTGCGGTGCTTCCTGCTGTAATTCACCCCTATAGTCGCTAAGTTTTCAGATTTTGTAAAATATACAATTATAATGCAAGCAGTGCTAAACCACTCCTGACCATGGGATATACTGTGATGAATTGCTTGCTGGCCCCATCCCAGCTGTGTGACACAGGAAGCACCAGAGAGCAGCGACCTGTCAGTCACACAGCACCTCCTCTGAAATCATACAGGCTGTGCACACTTCCCCAGCTTCCCATAGCTGCTCCTCTTCCTCACGTGTTCCTGCGGCACTGGTCATGAAGGGGGCTGACGTCAGAGGGAAAGCATTGGACGTCTTCATCTGCTGCTACTGAGACACATCTGGCAGGGTGTAAGCACGTGTGTGCAGTCGTGAGGAGCATGGAGCTCAGCCACGGCTCAGCTCTGTCATTGAGCATTCCTCTTCATTGTAGTAGGCTTTGTCCGTGGCTTATATATGTATGTAGGAACTGGAAAAGCAATTAGAACAGAAAAAAAAGATTTTTGTATCATAGCTAGTACACTCCTAACAGCAGTTTGTAGGCTCCTATTGAAGCAACAAAACTAAATAGTCAATTGCATTACTCAGAAGGTTAAAAATAACTGGTACAGTTCTGATCTTGAAACTAGCAGATAGCTCTTCCATTTCAGATATGTAAACTGTGCTTATAATAAGGACAAGATTCAGACTCAGAACTGTACAGTTCAGACCTATCTCCATACCACCATGAGTGAAATAGAAAGCATGAGGAGCCTTCTCAAGTATGAAGATACTGAGAATTCCATTTGTAATTAAAGCATCCTTCTGTACATATGGAGAGCTAGACTTCTGAGTAGCATGAAATTTATCCTGTTTTGAAACACCATCCCTGGATTAATTTACAGAAATGACACTGAATGTCTTTCTAAAAATTCCCTACTGAAAATTGCAGTTTTGTCTTCAGACTAAACCCATTTTGCTTAGTGAGTTAACTGGTCCTAAAGAGCTTACATTTAAGTTCAGCCTTGCTTCCAGCAGATGTGCTGCTGTTCATACTTAGAGAAAGGGAGCTGTGCTTCCCTCCCACTCACAAATCTATTCCTTTCAGAGATGTTACAAAATAAATCAAGTAGAATAGAGTAGTTGTGGAAACAAATAGATGCAATTATATAGGGTTGCACTTCATAGCACAGCCTAAGCTTTGGAGGGACAAGTAGTGACATGCAGAAACCATACCAATTAAAAGCTGTGTTCTAGTGCCAACGTAAGTATCTTAAAAAGAAAGGAAAATATCTGATTCCTGCAGTGTAGATATGAGAAATATGTATTCCAGTGTGTGGCTGTCTCAAGCTCAAGCTTTTTAAATGTGAGCATTTTTGCATCACATTGAGGATCACATCCTCACCTCAGCCATCGTGAACTCTTATTCTCCCACTTTTCTTCCCTCTGGTGCAGATGTTTGCTCATTTACAATTCATGACGTGACCTAAGTTTGATGTTTAAACATGAAGGCATTGGTCAGTTTGGAAGATCTTCAGGGCATTTCTCATAATCCAGAAGAGAACACATACTATAAATAGTGGTTCCTCTAGAGGGTCCTTGTAGAGGCACAGCTATCTCATGAATAGAAATAAATGTGCTATTAACCGATTTTTCGGAGTATTCTTTGAATTAGAATTTTCTTCTGATGGGCAGGGGTATTGATTTACTTTTGAGGGGACTTTGTGCTTTACGGTAATTCTAGCCCCGGCACGGCACAGCACTGGCTAAAATTAAAGCAGCAACTCAGGAGCCTGAAATTAAGCACACGTTTACATGTATTGACAGCGAAACATTCCCGAGAGCCCTAATTATTTACTGGAATTTGTATGAGCCAGTTGAACGATTACCTTTATATTGTTAATTTCAGACAAAGGGCAGCATCTTCATTTAGCACTATTTCTGTCCAGTGCATAACGGAGGGTATTGCCATTAGTTTTGCTGGTGTATTGCCGAGATACCTTTTTTGTTTTTCTTTTAGCCAGCATTTGAATAAACATGTGCATTCTGTCCTTTACTGTTCTGAATGTTATTGTATTTTAATAGAATGCTTTTCAAAACAGCAATGGCAACACACAGTAAATTTTAATTGGACTTAACTGCACGCTATAGAAGAATTTAAGAAAAGCAGGTAGAGGCAGCACACGCATTTCAGGAAAACACTGAGGAGGTTTAATGTGTCCTTACTGCAGTCTCTCGTTTCCTGGTGTATCAGTGAGAGTCCTCCAGAAAGCACATTCCCTTGGGTTTATTCCTTTAATTATGTCACTTTGTTCCTTATGAAGTACTGGGCTCTCGAAGGGGAATAAGAAATTTTTAAGAATAGAAACAGAAACAGCCAAAATTTTGCAGTTGTCATTGAATATGTCGCCCTTTATGTTATTTAAAAATAAGTGCTACAAATATCTACTTGAGAAAATAATTGTTTGTCGCGGGTCTGGTACTGCCAACGTAGTGATCAGGAAAATTCAACACCATATGCTGCAGAGCAGTGCTGAAATAACTGATCCTCTGACAAGTTGTTCTGAACTTTATGGCAGAACATAACACACTCCTGTTGGTAAGAAATGTGTCGGTGCCGCGGTGCTGTGACCCCGAGCTTGGCTCTGCTGCACGCCACACCATTTTTATATACCATGAAGGGCTCACATTTAAATGTGAATATTGATTTTGTACTGCCACTCAGTGCTCCTTTGTGAAAAATGCATAGTTGTCCCATTAATCTCCTTTAATTAAATATTCAAACTGCCTCAGAAATTCCTCTGCTACCTAATAAAAATTTATGAATAAAATGAATATTAAAGTAGTAATCCCTGAGAAATCGGATAGCACTGCAATTAACAGTCAATTTGTTAGAGCATTAACCAACCGTGAGCTCTCCTCATGATGTTGGCTTTTGAAATAGCCGCTAAACACTAATCGACAAAATGGTGATGGCGAAGCCTGGGACTGAGCAAAATCAGAGGAGGTTCCTGGAGCCCTGTGATGAAGTTTTCACAGATCTGATGTCTGTTGCTATTTTGCTGGTCTGCTTTTCCCTAGCATTTCAAAATACCAAACGGCAGAACAGTTCAAGTGCTCTATATCTGCTTTGTTTGTTTGTTGTGTTTTCTCTTGTTTTCTCACATCCCCTCCCGCCTTCTGCCTAGGAATTGTACACAAAGGAAATGGAGAAAACATGTTCATTTCCCAGCAGCCACCGGTCATCTCCACTGTGATGGGCAATGGACACCAGAGGAGTGTCTCCTGCTCCAACTGCAATGGTCTTGCACTCAACAGCAAACTCTTTGCCCCAGTTGCTCTGACTTCTGGGCCTGATGGCAGTGTGTATATTGGAGACTTCAATTTTGTCAGACGGATCTTTCCCTCTGGAAACTCTATTGGCATATTAGAGTTGAGGTAAAAAGAGATTAGCTCTGGCTTGTGTCCCTATCCTGGCTGTGATACGCCTATGAAAACTACAGCGAGACTTTGTCCTTTTTGATTTAAAGACACAGCTGTGTTTAGTTGTCTCCTGAGCACGCATCTCATCGACAGTGAAACTCGGTCATCAGAAAACTTATGCATTCCTTAAAATCATAAGTTAAAAAAGGGCATCGTAAGTGGCCTTTAGAATGGGTTTTTGCATAATGAATTTCTACGAAGTGCAGAGTTAATAGAGCTGTTCTTTCTTCTCATGGGGATTCTCATGCAATTATTTCTTCCCCCAAAAAGTTTAGAAATTTCAGGAAGCTTTTTTTTTTTTTTCTTTTCTTTAAGACTCATCCCCACTCAGTAGCAGATGTGCAATGTGTCTGATCTATTGGTCTGATATACCTGCCTCGGCTGAAATTAATACAATTAAATCATTCTTCACAAATAACAGGATGTGGCTGGATTTAAGCAGCTGAGCGAGATTGGCATTGCAGACCAATGTGCTTCAGGCAGGGCAGCTTGACTGTATTAATGAGTCCTGATTTGAAGTCCCATGATTTGGAGTCAGGGATGTGGAGAAAAGCAGGAAAGATGTTGGACACTGGTACACTAAAATTCTCTTACTTAGAAGTCACAAATCTAACTATCTAGCATTGCAGCATTGCAGTAATTGTGAGCTGGTTGTTCAGAATGAACTTGAAAATGTGCAGGTGGTGGGTGGCAGAAGGGAAACATATTTTGAGAGGAAGAAGTGATACTGAATGCCAGGATAAACAGTGTTTTGTTATTGCTGTACAGCAGTCAGACAAAAAAATAGAGCTTTTCTGGAGAATTAATATTTCTTGTCTTTTTTTTTTTTTTTCTTTTTTTTTAAACCTGAACCTGACTGTGTTACCAGGAATAGAGACACAAGGCACAGGTGAGTAAAACACGGTAATGCAAATATGTGAACCATGTTCTAGGAAATACCCTTAGAAAAGTCCTGACTTGTAGACATCCTGATACAGAGAAACTCTGAATTTAATAAATGTAAATGCTAATCAAATTCACCTTTAAGGTTGTTTGATTTTTTTCCCTTTGAAGGGAACAAATCAGTTGATTTTGTCAACTGATTGGTCCTAAAATCAATTAATCACCAAGCAGAGATGGAGAGGTTTGAACCTGCACGCTGGGATGCTGTCCAGAGCTGTCATACAGTTTTCATGTTATGCTTGTATGATCATAGATAAAGCTAGACAAGCAAGCTGGGGTTTTGCCAATGAAGAAATAAAAAAAGGGCTTCAGAGTCCCCCAAGAGCCCATTCTTCAGAGGTTCTAGCATACCTGAGCTTTAAAAGCTGCCATAATTACAAGGTGTGCACCGAGAACAAAGCAGTACCAAAGCACATTGCATCTCCAACCTTGCTTCCTCCAGCTACAGCAAGTTCCTTCTCCCATTTCTATGTAACGTTTTGACATTGCAATGTAAAGCCTCTTTTCTTTTTTTCTTTTTTTCTTTTTTTTTTTCTTTTTTTAAGAAGTAATGTTGAAATGTTGGAAACGAGACTTCTGTAACATACAGTAAGGTATTACAGTCCACCTGCAAAAGTAGCATTGCAGACTAGGAAGAGAGAGCAAGGCACCGAGACACTGTGTACCTTTAGGAGCAAACTTCAGGAATTTCAGTACATGAGATAAATAAACCACTGAGGCTGATGACTGCATGGCATAGCAGGAAGTGCTGCATGGACTGAGTGTATGCTTTGCAGACTGAAAGCACTGGTCAGAATTAATTGATGTAGTCGCTAGGATGCTATTGAATACTACAGATTATTTGCCAGCCTGCTTGTAGATGATGTCATATTTCATATATTTTACAATGAGAGATTAATTAAAAATGAATAATTCCTAGCTTAAAAGTGCAAGGTTTTTATATTTTAGCTGAAGGGTCATTTCCATTTGCCTTTATGGTGAACTGATCAGTATCTTTGTACACTGATGAAAAGAAGTAAATTGAATGTACTTATTCTATAGTGCATTCAGACCTTCTATCAGGTTTTTAATTTGGGGATTTCTTTGGAAAGTAGAGTTTTTTAAATACCTTCTCATTAGAATAGGTTTTGGTTTTGTTTTTTTGTTTTTTTTTTCTGAGAAGAGCTTAAGCCTTAATTAAATCAAGTTGTGAGAATGCACAAGTAATTACAGTAATAATTATTTCTATCCATATCCTGTCCAAGTGAAATCTGAGGAAGATCTGAGGAAGTAAATTGAAGTTACTGTAGTCCTTGAGGTTATGGAGGAGCACTCGTCAGTCCCAGTGTATGCTGTTCTGTTCAGGCTTTAATGGCCACGGTGAGGATGACTACAGGGTCATTCATTTCTTGGACGTTTCTGTGATGTCCACGTACCTGGGAGAAACAACTGAATTTTGTCAGAGGCTTGTGACAGTCCCAGGAGGAGAAGGCTTAACAATCAAGTTCTCCACACAATCTCTGGTCTGCACAAAAGAGAGAAAAAGAAGTTTTTGCCAGAACAAAGAAAATACCATGTAAAAAAGGGTAGTGCTGGGAGACTGGGAGACAGAGAAGAGACAGTCCTTGGTTTAAAGGACTGCTTAAAAACAGTTCATCCTCTTCAGTTTTCTGAACTTTGTCATCGAACTTTTAATAAGACCTAACCAAGGTGCTTGGTAACTGGTCAAATAGAAGCCAGGCTTTGAGGTTACAGGGGTGAACTGCACTACAGGATATAATCGCCTGTTCTGGAAAACGAATCATGAATCCTAGGCTATTTTATGTAGTTTTTGATAGACTAATTTAAATAAACTTGCGTTTAGGTTTGACTGCAAACTTCTGCAACAATAAGGAGTGTTTGATTTTGTTCCATTTTTTGCTAATATTCTTTAAATTTAAACATTTTAGTATTCAAGGCTTTGAGCATAGATAACATCAAGAATTTTCTAACAGCCGGCCTATTAAATGTAATGACAAGGATGATAGAAAATGTGTCTACAAGGAGGGTATATAATGACTCCTGGCTCTCTGTAGTTTCTACATATTGGAGAATATGTTTATTTAACATCTAGAATTCTCCTTGCAATTTTTTCATCAGCAATATTTTATTAAAAAGTCATTTTTTAGCTGGCCAGGCTCTTCTGAACTTACTCCTGAGAGCACAAATGGTTCTCAAATGTTTTTAACAAATAATTTTATAATAATGATGATGTGTCATTCAACATTAATTACCTTTTGCTCACATCCAGTTACTCGTTTTTCGTGATGCTTTGATTATCTCCCATTCCCCATATTTCCTTGGGCTGGGTTTCACATCTGTTCCACAGATGTGGGAATGTCTCGTTCCTTCTACTTCCCCCTTCTGTCTTTTGGAGAAGCTTATGACTAAGGTCAGCATTAAGCTACTCTAGCTGATGACTCAGAGGTGTTGAGTAGTTTCTGTCCCTTTTTGAATGGAAAATGAGAAATAAAATAAGCCCGAGCTCCATCGCATTTATCAAAGTTACAGCATTGGCCTAATTGCTAATAAATCAAATGAAGATTTCAACTGATTGTCTGTTAGGGGCCAAGCAAAAGCTTGTTTTTAAAGAGGCTACAGCAACCCAGAATCTGGACAGTAAAGTAAGTCCATGTCATTTCAGACATTATGTAGCTGTCCTGGGATCTCTGCCGGTTCTTCAGCTCTGTTTTGTCTGTCCTGATTTGTCATGGCACAGAAAACTGGGCTAGGCAAAGCACACTGCCAAAGCCACCATGAACAAAACTGACAGAACTTGGAGAGCTCATTTCTTAACTTAGTTGCAGAAATCCTAGGTGCTAGCAGCATTTCATTAGGATAGAGATTGACTATCTTCTAATCTACATAGCAATCCCTATGTTTATACAGAACTGCTGCATGAAGAGTGGCAGGAGCACCATGTCTCATACAGGCAGCAGTCAGCCATCACCTCCTTAGGCAAAACTCGACAGCAGTAAAATGCTGCCTGAGGCTGAACAATACACCAAGTTTTGGCCACTCCTCTGCTTCTGCCCAGCTCCTTGATTTTCAGTAATGGTCTGAGTGGTCTGAAGGATCTACACCCATCCAGGGTCTGTTTCATCATCAGGACTACAGCTCAGTCTCACCAGGTTTGCGCCCAGGCATTTTCCTCAAACGGGAAATTAACTTTGCGCTCAAAACGAAGCAAGAAGTTATACTTGATAGTAAGATGAAGCCCAGTTTTTCTGATTGGAATTTATAATCCTCACCATTTAATTAACGTATGTAAATATTTTTTTAAATAGCATTTTATAAGCTCAATAAGGCACTTTGGTGCATGAATTACGGTGTATTAATTCATGCCTAGTTGCACTGACAGTGCTTGGCCTTCTGCCTTGCTCCTGACAATACAGTCGGCATGAATTAAGGTGCCATATTTCATACCTTCATATTTCCTAAGGTTTAGAAACGGATAAAAGTAACCAAGAGTGAATAGTAATACCCTTGCAGAGCAATCTGTGATTCATTTTGCTGCAAGTCAGATGTGTTTTCAATGCCAAGATGCCAATGTCAAGTGTACTAAAACAGAAAAGGTATAGGAAAAAAAAATGGCCTTGCTTTTGAAAGTAATAATTATTAAGTAAGCTGAAGTCACTTCAGTTAGCTTTACACTGGGTCTCTTGGTCCTCATGGCCACACCAACCCCAGCAGTACTGCTGTGGGTGAGCTCACTATCTGACACCAACTAGGATGGGCAGGCTCTGCAGCTGCTTCTACAGTGGTGCTTGGATGAGCTGCATGATAGCTGGTCTCACTTATAATTCTCATCTCCACAGCAGAATTAAATAGGAGTATACAAGCTTTAGGCTACCATGAACAAAAATTATTAAGAAAAAATAATAATTTTGTTGTTCTTCTTTTCTAGTACAAGTCCTGCACATAAATATTACTTGGCTGTTGACCCAGTATCAGAATCCCTTTACTTGTCAGATACCAATACCAGAAGAGTTTACAAAGCAAAATCACTCATTGAAACAAAGGACCTGGCCAAAAACGTGGATGTGGTGGCAGGAACAGGTGATCAGTGCCTCCCATTTGACCAGAGTCACTGTGGAGATGGTGGGAAGGCATCAGAGGCGTCTCTCAACAGCCCAAGAGGTAAGAAGAGAGCATGTTTGAAGTATGCGGTGGTCAGCTGTTATTTCCCTACATTCAGCAACATCAGAGGTGAATGTTGGTGGTATGGAAGCAAAGGCAGAAACTTCCCATCAATATTCCATTAGATTTTGTTACATGTGACAGATGGCAGGAGGAGGGCAGTCACGCAGAATGGCATTTGACGTAGAAGGGTGTATGAAACAAAGCTGTGGAATTGAATTTCTCCATGCAGAAAAAAATGGCACCCATTGACATTCATCAACACTTGCTGAATGTTGATGGAGACCAAACAGTGGATGTGAGCACAGTGAGGGCTGGGTGCTGGTTTTAGCAACGGTGACAGTGACTGTAGGGCACTTCCACTTATCAGCACAGCATGCAGGCTCCTGTTCATCACTGGTGGAAATGCACAGATATTGCTGGTGACTACTGCTGTTGATAAAGAGTGCTTTGTAGCTGACAACTTGCTTTATCAGTGTTATTATACTCTTCTTATCTGTTGTAGTTTCTGTGGAAATAAAGAGGAGGCATTACTTTCAGACAAGTAATTTATACTATGGGAGAGGTGATTCATTGGAACATGTTTATTCCAGATCATTTTGGGTACCCTACCCCTAGAATTTTTCAAGGCCAGGTTGGTGGGGGCTTTGGGTAGCCTGATCTAATGGGAAATGTTCCTGCCACCTATGGCACAGTTGGATCACAGTTGGACGCTCTTTAAGTACCTTCCAACCCACATCCCATGGTTTGTCATTCTACGTACTCCTTCCTTGTTTGTTACACTCCTACTTAAGTACCTTTCTATTGCAGGGTGGCAGCATTTAACCATATTTTACTTCTAAGCAAATCGTATTGTTGTAATTTTTCTGTTTTGGTTTCTTTTTTTTATACAATCAGGTGAGTCTGGTTAGTGGGGCTTACTTATACATTTCAAGTCAGGGCTTTTTAAATCAAACAGACAGTAGGATTAAGTGTACTGAGAGATCCAGTTTCTCCTTCCCCATTAGATGCACTTTCCAAAATAGGAGCTCCACGTGAAGGGGGCATTTTGCTGCAGCCATTCTTTCAGAGTTCATTCTATATTGTCACAGGCAAAATGCACCTGATGCCTTGAATCCCCACTAGTGGCATAATTAATCACCTCACAAGGTACATTAAAACTGCAGTTTGCATTAGAATTGAGATAGAGGGCCTGGATTTGGTCATCTAAACAAGCTGATCAAACTCAGCTCCTGCTGAGATCCCTGGAACAGAGGATAAGCAGCAGCTCTGATGGCAGAGCCTGTAAGTGGGCTTTTAGCAAGCTCCCCCTGCAGCACACCGCTGCTCCTAATGACTAGCTCTGAGGAATTATTTTTCTTCAGCTAATAAAGGAAGGCTTGTGTATCAGTAGGAAAGTAGAATGTATGTACAGACAAACATTTCTAGGGCAAGCAAATAATCCTGTTTTAAGGCTTAGCAAGTGACACATTTTAATTATAGATAGAGCAACTTCAACATGTCGTTAATGATGGAAGTTAAGTGTGAGACGAGAACAAATAAATGTTAATCTTCTGGCAGCTAATTAATGCTATGAATCAATTCTAAAAATAGTTGAGAAGAAAGGTTTTCGCATCCTTTAGCAGGAAAATAATCAATGTATTGTTGTTGGTTACAATTGATTATATCTAATTACAATTCCTTGTTTCATTGTACCTTCTTGCCAGACAGTATCTTGGTGAAAATCTGTAATATATCTACTTATAAAAATATGCATGCGTAGCTGTTTTCCTCAACAGGTTCTAGTCATAAAGACAGTAACAGGGATAAAAAGTATAATTCATGAATGCTGGGGCAGACTGCAAAAATTAAAAAATTAACCATAAACAGACAATGGCTCAGACATTGGCAAATTCAGGTAATGGCTCCCAGCTGATATACACATCTAAATGATGTCAGCTTAAATTGAAATTGTTTTCTATGTTTTGTATTTCATTTTCTATGCTCTGGGTTTTGTATTTCCATTTGAAGTCACTATGGAGTGTCACATGCCCCTTCTTGGGCAGGGGATAACGCAGCATCAGCCCACAGTCACCAGCACAGTGCAGTGTTAGCTGTGCATTATCATGATGGCTTTATAAGTGCACGTCCTTGTTTTCCACTACACAAAGACATTGAAAAGTCTTGGAAGCAATAGAAAGTACTTGCCTGGTGCCCACTTTTTAGCATTTATGAAAAAAAAAACTGAAAGACTTACATAGCTAAGTACAATTTAATGAATATTTTGGGTCATTCATTTGGTTTGTCAATAGAATCGTGATTAAGTTAGAAGTGTCACCTTTCTACTAAAATTACATTTAAAATGTAATTGTACATATTATTTCTAGAAGACAGGACACATTGACAGAGGTGCTGGTAAGCCCAGAGACTCAGCAGCATCTTTTCCACATTTAAAGATATTTGAACAAAAAGCAACATAATGTTATGTAGTATTTGACCAAATAAATTAATTTTTCATCATCAGCGAGATTTTTTGCATTCCAAAAGTTTGTACCTTATCACACAGATAAAGACAAAGTAATAGAAAAGGATATTAATTATATTTAAATGCATTACTTGACGAGACAAGATGTACATTTATTCTTAGGCTGGTGTAGAACTTCCTTTTGGCTCCATTTAGTCTATCTGCCTTATTGTTGCTCTGAATGCTCCCTTTTTCTGCAATAAATAAAGTACTTTTGCGTAGTAGAAAGGTAGTATCTAGTCGCTTAGTGGCTGGCCTTGGTTAGTTACACCTCAGAAGTTGTATTCTCATTTCTGCTGCTGACTGCTTGCAACTGTGAATAGAACCTTATCTATATGACTCAGTTTATCCACTTTTAAAATTGATAAGAAATAACTGTTGTGTAATACTGTCGTGAAATTTAATCCTGTTTGGTAACATCTTCAGAAGTATGGGAGCGAGTGGAAATTCATATACACTTATTTACTTCTCTGAAGGAATACTGCAAAAAATACTAGTTTAACTGTTTTGAACTCAGGTTTTTCTACTTCATTGAGCATAGAGGTAGGGTGTTTTCTTTGTTGTTCTGGTTTTCAGTTCAGTTTTGGAGAGTCCTGAGTAATTATTTGACGAGTTAAGGCCTTTGTTGACTTGTGTTTCTAATTATCTGGCATGGCTGACTTTGCCAAGTGACCAGGAACCGAATGTCAGACAGTAAAACATCATGGTCACACTAGTCAGTGATGATTTGATCATTCCCCAGCTTTCATTTCTCACCTGACAAACGTGTGGGGCTTTATTCAGTCTGTTCCCACTTCTCCACAAAGAACTGGCGATGGGGCCTTTTGAATATTAATCTTGCACAATTGTGTGTTGGAGCTGACTTTGAAAGATGTTTTTAAACATGCATGGGTGATGTAGTTGAAACTTGAACTTCAATATATTATTTTTACTGCAACTTTCTTTAATTCTGTATAGAACTCAGAGTAATGAGTCATGTAATAGATGACCAAGTACTTAAGCAAAATGTGAAATGGTACAAGGTGGGGACATAAAGTAAGATATGTGACAAGCTGAACACATTTATTATACAAAAAGATATTGAAAATGAAGTAGTAACTACACAAGATATTAATCACTGACTCAATTCTAATATCATGAACTTTACTAAGCAACGGATTTTAATTTTGGGGTGGGAATTCTGTTTGGTGGCTTGGGTTATTTTTTGATTAAAAAGTATTTATGGCATATCTAGTCACCAACGCTGGAACATTTAAACTGTCCTGAGTAATATTTATAATAGGGCACTAAGGAATAGCATCCCGATTTTACTAGATTAGTCACTAAATTTTGGAGCAGTAAGCACTAAAATTAATAGCAATACCAAAGAGTTGTCTACTTAACACTGCAAAGGCAATTTCTATATCGAAGGCATTAGATACTTACCATTAACCCTCTGAAACCAATGGGCTTTGCACGTGTAAATAGGTTTGACTTTCCAGGCTTAAATGACAGAGGCGGTGAAAGGCTGAGGCAATCAAGTTACCAGTTTTTTGCTGAGATGGTGTTTCTGCATCAGTATACCAAGAAAGGTGATTTAGATTAACATCTGATTTGCATTACTGTGTGTTTTGAGACACTCTCAGAACGTGCACGCAGGACAACTAGCATGGCAGAGCAAACTGAGTAACCTAGTTGAACCAGCAAGTCCCTCCAATGACTGAACAGTAAGTCACCAAAATGACTGACAGTGTTTGGGAGTACAAGCACTGAATCCAAAGAATTACCATCTTAGCATCTGCAGTGCATGGTTTTTGACTGCCGGGTCCAGACCAGACTTTGGGACTGTAAGACAGGGGGTCACATCTGCACTGTGTGGAGAGTCACTGCTGCAGAAGAAATTGAGAACCGCACACGGGATTCAGCCTACCTGAATGTAGTGCAGTGACCACAAAGCAGGCAGCAGGGAAAAGTAGAAGGCTGGATTAAGTTTTAAAGTCCATGCATAATAATCAGCATTCCACTCAGGCACATGACCGTGCAACACAAATGAAAGCTTAAATTAAAAATCAGTTCTGCAGCTTAGTTTTATGCATTTTGCTTGAAGTTATTTTAGTAAGGAAATACTACTAAAAGAATCATGGCTTTGAAAATGTGTTCACTCCAGTAGCTTACATCCTGAAATAATCAGTCTTCTTGCTCACCATCTGCAGCACTTCTTGCTAAAGTAAATAAAGCTGCAAGAACAACTGCTCAGATTAAACCTTTACATTTGTCAAATCACAATAGGCCATTTAGGACCTGATCCTGCTCAGCTGGAGATTCCCCTTTGCTCCAGTAGAATGCAGACCAAATTCCTAATATGCTCTTTCACGAAAATAGGATTCCTTCATAGTTAATCTCCTGCTCATTCATCAATCTTTACCATTTTATAAATTCATAGCAGCTTTTGAAACCTTTCACGCAATTCAAAAAGAAAAGCAGAATGTTTCAGCAGCAACTTGTAAAGAATAAACCAATTTGCAGCTTGAAATCATCATATGTGCATCAGTAGTAAAAAATCCATCTCATGCCATTTTTGATTTAGCAAAATGCATTGTTTTTCTTCAGCAGCCTGGGTTACCTATGATTTCAGAGGCCTGTGGAACCTAACTGAATTTTTTGGGAAAGTATATTTTCCTGAACTTGCTCCAGCCTTTGTTTGAATGCATTAGTTGTTCATCTTTATGCAAACTACTGTCAGCAGTAAGCGTGACCCCAGCCAGCATGTCTGTGACTAGAAGCAGGACATTCTGGAGTCAGTAGTTAAAAATGCTGTTTGCTTCAGCTCTGCTGCTCCACATCTCCAAAGAGAACAACAGTGAAGTGCAAGTATTGAAGTCATGTTCCAGCTGACAAAGAATTGTTAATTTTGCCGCTAGTACTAAGACAGTAATGAAGTAAAGATGACAAAGATCACAAAGCACCAGACTGCAAATCATTTGAATCATATTTTGAGTGGTGTATTATGGTAACATATAAATAACTAATTGCATAAAATTGCTTTAGTAGTTTCTAGATGGCAGCTTTAATTAAAAGCACCGGAGACATTTAGAAGTTTAGAAATAGATGGCATGTAATTTGCCCTTTTACCAACCATAAAATGGTAATTAACCAATTTGATTCACTTCTTCCTATTAAAAGTTTTATGAGAATCACAAGTTTCTTCTAAATACAATTTTTCTCCGGCTGAAGGTGGCATTCTCTTTTATCAGTCCTCACCAGTGCTTTTAGATGTTCATGTATAAACTTCAGAAGCTTAATTGGAAGTTTTCAATGTGAAATGATCATTTGCAAAGTTTTAAGCTGAGCAGAAAGTAAATATTCAGAAGAAGGTAGAAGGTAGCTCTAGCTGTTGTTCACTGTTGTGTTCCGAAAAGGATTTGTTCCCAAGAAGCTTCTTAAAACATGACTGTGGTCTATGACGTGAGGCAGAAAGAATCTGTCTTAATTGGGAACTGGCTGTATTAATTTTAATCTGTAGTTTCAAATTTAATTATAAATCCACCATGAGTTTAGCTCCATTAACAATGCAAGGCCAAGTTTCAAGAGTGAAAGTAAAGGTCAGATCTATAACATTCATATGTATCTTGAATTTATACCTATGGGAACTACACACAGAAGTGATCAGTTAACTTTCAAAGTGTTATTTGCATTTTTAATAGCGTATCTATGCACACTAAGATCTGTCAGGAGAAATAACCCTGTACCAAAATCACTCCTCAGAGCACATAATAGGAGATGGAACAGTCAGCCTTCTCCATACGTCATGGCTGTAATGAGCCCATCCAAGCATTATTTTGTGCAGAAAACAGAAAGAGCAAAACTTCTGCTGCTGTCTTTTTCGTGATGGTGCTTCGTAGCCCATGTGATCACACCAGCAGCACTCCATTGCTAAATGTTGGTTAGCAGAATTAAAATGATAAAGCAAAGCAACATCTAAGAATGACTGTTCCCACTCAGAGTGAGCACAGAGTGAGCAGTGACAGCCCTTACACCCAGAGCAGCAAATCATCACACATTGCGTACACGTGGTTCCTCTACTTCCTCAGTGATTAAAAATTACATTGTACACCTGAAAAGGATTAAAATAAGCTCTTGGAGTACGGATTAGGTGAAGCATCATGGAATCCAGCTGTAACAATGAATAAACTGGGGAAGTTGAGTCACAAACCTGTGTTTTGTTTTCTAATGGATGCCTTACACAGGGCATTTCTCAACACGTTTTAAATGCATAAGTAATTTTTTCAAAAAGGCAAAGTCACATTCTTTTAGTATATAGGAGTGAGCATAGGTCCACTGTGGAACATCTGTATGCTAGTACTTGAAGAAACTTAGCTAACTAGGCTAAGTTTATCATCTTTTATGATATATATATGAAAGCCTCTTTAGGCATTTATCATCTTTTGCTCAAATACTGAAGACATGGGCTTGTTTATGCCACACTGGCATATGTACTTCCCCTGCAGATAGCCTGCCTTTCTGCCATGGCTGGAAAGTAAAATGTGTGTTGTTATTGCAAAAAAAATCTTTGGTTTTCTTGTATAGGCAGTGTTTGAAATCCATTCAGCAACACAGCTGAGTAGCTTTGCTTCATTTTTGCTTAATTTCTGACTTTTACATAATGGCTGGTTTGCAGCCAACAGAGCCATCTGCTTGCAGGGAAATTGCGTAAAACAAGATGCACTTGCCCTGATGATGGATCCTGGCCTTGGTTATCCATGACATGGATCCGGCCCAGGTGAGCAGTACTGCTCCTTGCTGCCCATGCAAAGGCAGGCCCCAAGGCACAGCAGCTGTGCTGTAGGTCCCACCTACATCAGCTTTCTCACTTCAAAGCATGAGCTAAGCTGAAAAGCAAAGCAAGTCTCAGCTCACCTTTCTGTGTCTGATATACCAACTGACACAGCTCCATAAGGCATTATCAGGAAGGTTAGAAACACCTCCGACAATCATAGCTGCATTCACACACCATCCATTACACAGCAAGGCTTTTTTCCCCCCCTTCCATCAGAAAGAGCCTTGAAGAGACTTCCAAGAAAGTTGTAAGAGTTACGGGGCTGGATCTGAAGAGACCTTCCCATATCCAAGAAGAAATCCTAATATAGTTTCCTAACAGCTTTCTCATTTTCTAATGAAAACCTTTAACGCTTTAACTTTACCTTGCAGCACTGCTGAGAGCAGTGCAGAGCCCAGGAAGGATCTCAGGTATGCAGAGTGCCTCAGCAAGAGAAGATACCAAGAGCTCCCCCTGCTCTGTGGCTCCACACTGCGGTAGAAGGAGGTGAACATAGCCCTTCTCATTTACACAGATACAAACCAAAGATCAGGTCATGAAACCGGGGCCATCAGTCTGCCTGGTATGGGGGAAAGGCAAGCCCTTGTAACCTGCTGGCCCCTCTGTAGAGACTGGTGCTGATGTTATTCTTGCTCTCTGCTAGAAAAGCATCCATGGGTGATTTATTCTGGGGCTCTGCCATTGGGTGATAGCACTGTAAGAGGCAGCCTGAAGGTCAGACACATTTCCAGCTGCCAGATGCACATGTACCCAGGGGCCTGGAGGGACTGTCAGCCTCACAGATCTGTGTGATGCCCATCACAGCTGCCTGGTCCTGCCTGTGTCCCCCACGCTATTTCCCCACTACCCTCAGCTACCACTGCTCCTAAGTATATAGAGAAGTGAAATATCAGGAAGATGGACTAGGAGATGGGGGTAAAGTTTTTTTTTTTTTTCTTTTTTTTTTCTTACATAATGGTGCATGGAATTGCTGCTTGATATCCTTAGCTGGCAGGCAGACAAGTATTTTGTAAACTCAGAGAACATGCAGCCTTCAGTTGTGCTAAATGCAGGGGACAAAAATCAAGAACCATATAAGCCACTGTCCAAACCATCTGTTCAAGCCCTCTGCCTTTCATTTCTCTGTAGCAGAACATAAATTCATTATTAAAATAGCTTGGCTGTGCACAGCAGCTGCTATAATTGCAAGTTATGCAACTTTTAATGGGAAATTATGAAGTAGTTTAAAGCAAGAAATCGAGCAGGTTTAGTATTTTCACAAACCTAACATTGAATAGAAGTGCTCTTCTAGCTATTTCAACATTTCAGGAAAGAAAGATCCTACATACATTTTGCGCAATATAGGAACGTCTGACAAATACTGAATGCAGGGAGAAATGAGGAAAAAATATGAGACTGGGATAGACCAGGGTCAGGCATGGGTTGTGACAGGGAGGCACCACACGCTGCTGGTGGGACGCAGCAAGCACTCTGTGCTCCAGTTTCCCCAGTGAAATACAGAAAACATGGAAAGACCGTGAACTCTGCAGTGCCCTCGTGTTTGTTTCAGGGTCCATCTCTCCTTTGCAGTGTAGTGATGCTAAAGCTAATGCAGACCCAGCAGCACCAGCTCTTGCTGAAGCCACTCTTGTCATGAGACTGGTTCCAGTAGGTGACCCTGTGCTTTGGGCAACACCACACTGCAGTACATTCTGCAGCACAGGTATTCCTTCCACCTGGTAAGCAGAGCCCATTTTGTACCATTAGTATGTATAGCCCCTGCACTGCAGAAGTCATTCTTGCTTTCTGTTGGTGCTTCCTCCTTGTTCAGGTGCTCCAGGAAGTCACACAATGCAGTAATACAAAAAATTGCATCTGCATGAGAATTAAGAAAGTGGAAAATGAAGAAAAATCAACTGCAAGATAAGGTTTTCGAAAAGCTGATCTTGTCCCGCTCTGTGATGAAGGCCATGAAGCTGTTGAGCATAATTTTATGTTATATATATGACAAGAAAAGCATCTGGTGCTTTGTTCTGTTTCTTCCTTATATTTTCCTTCTTTCTGTGAGTCAGAGACAGTCAGATGTCTGGATAAGATCTTTCCATATACAATTTGAATAAGCCTCAAATAAGTAATAGGTAGAAAAAAAACTGAGCCGTACTCATTTTAATCATCTGATTTTCAGGGCCTTAAGAGGAGAGGAAATATTTCTTTAATCTGGAAAATGTCAATGCTAACACTTTCTTTTCCCCCTTTCCTTTCATCTAGGTATCACTATAGATAAGCATGGATTTATTTATTTTGTTGACGGTACCATGATTCGGAAAATTGATGAGAATGGCGTGATCACAACAATAATAGGTTCCAACGGCCTCACATCAACCCAGCCATTGAGCTGTGACTCTGGAATGGACATCACTCAGGTAGACACCTCTTTTTTTGTGTGTTTTGTCACTCTTCTGCACATTGTGGAGACAGAAAAATTGGTTTCTTGTAGGAGGATTATATATCAGAATATGCCAGGTGAATCAGGTAACTCTGAACTGCACAGTGTGGAGTGAATCTTTCATTCACGTTATTATTTCAAGGTGTATTATATAAATGTATAAGGTGTATTATGTAAATGCAAAACTGTGTGTTTGATTTTATCCAGGAGTTTTCATGTGAGTGTGTAGGGAGTATATAATGAATATTTGCTGCTTTAGAAAGTTGCTAGCTAATTTCAGGTACAGCTTCCTAGGAGTTTATGGGATGTTTAGAGTACTTTCCTTTAGTCCAGTATTCAGACTAATTTGCTTGAACTGCTAAATGGAAAAAATATATATTCTGCTGACATCTGTTTTAAATCATGGAAGAGCATTACAGTATGTAATTACAAAACAGTAGTGTACTGAAGTTGCTGCCTTTCAGCCTGTTTCTCCAAGTGCTTTTCAGTTCTTTTCAGGGCAGAGTGAAAGAAATTGAACTAAAGCACACTTACCGTCTCTCTAGTTTACACTAAAAAGATATCTAGATAATCATGAAGAAACATAAATAGTACTCCTGACTAGTCAGTGAGCCACCCTTACAGGTAGCACAAGGAAGGAATTGCCCTATACCAATAAAAACCTGAATTAATCAGTTTCAACATGGGGAAAAACAGAAAAGCAGTACTTGAAGAAAACTTGAGGCATTCATGTAGCACACAGAGGGAATATTATGGACTGTGAAAGCTAACAACAGCCATCCTGTTGATTTTGCATTTCATTTTCTCCCTGCTCTTCCCTCAGTCTTTCACAATTGCAAAATCACAGCTAAAATATACTGCGTAACAGTGGTAAGAAATAACAGGGGTAAGAACTTGCTCCTGGATTCTGAATAGAGTTTGAATTACAGCAGTAAAAACGTACTTGTGGAATATGGAGTCAATGCCTTGGATATTTTTAATCAGATTTCACAGGGACAAACAATGGAATATAGTGCTCTCGTCACAGCAGCACCAGAGGATTGTATTACTAGGGTCAAAACTGAAGATAGTGTCCTTGTTCCACTTTACATGTCACTAAGCATTTGAAAATGCAGGACAGGGAAATGATATATATACCTTCTTATTCTCTCTGGTTCAGTAGATATGTAGCTGTTCCATGTAGAGCAGAACAACAGGGTCAGTTGAGTTAGCTGTGCTAAGCCCAAGCTTAAACTAGCCTAGTAGTTGTCTTAAGGACATGTTGCTTCTGGGCACCTTGACTTCTGCTCCGGCACCTCGTCTTGTAGGATAGCCAGTCCTGCAGATGATGAGCAGGAACCCACTGAAGCAACCAGTATTCCACAGCTGGAGGCACTGACTCTCCGCTCCATTGCTGCAGACCTGCTGGCAGGAGCCATGCTTCATGGAACTTACTGCTGCCTGAAGCACGTTTGCTTGCTTCTTGGATACACACAACAAATGCCTGGGGCATCAGTAACCAGATTAGAGATCTCGGAGGGACATGGCATGGAGCCAGGTGCATTGTCTGCTCCCTGCCTCCTCCTTGTGATACGCGTCTGAGGCTGTACACATAACTGCTTTTTTGGTCATATAACTTGTGAGTGTGTATTTACGTGCAAATTTTGGTTTATTTCCCTCATTTTGCTCAGTAACAAAATGCCTCCCTAAATCTGAAATGCAGTGCTTCATGTTGATGGTTTTGTATTCCTTTTTAAAAAATACAAACACCCTTTAGCAAATTACGTTCAACAGGGGGTCTGGCAAATGTGGAGATAAAATGGCTTTGTTTTTTAACATGAAAATGAAGTTGAAAAGGTAAAACTCTTCAGGTTGAAATCAAACATACCAAAGTTGTAAATAGCTCTGTCCCCTAAAATCTTGTTTTATGGTGGGCTGGCTACTTGCTGGAAACAGATTTACCTTAGTACAAGGTAATACAGGCCCAATACTGTAGAGAGAAAGAGAAAAAAACTTCTGCAGTATCATAGATAAGAAGATGCATTCACAAAGCAAGTTCTTCTTTGTATTGCTTTTTGGGCATGGGCATTCAGCTGGGATAAGGTCTTCTTTCCATAGAAGCAGAAAGGCAATTCTTTCTCCATGAACAAGCCTTGTGCTGCCATTTCACAGCACCTACAGGCTTCTGTTGCAACAAATTTCTGAAAAGTTTGCAAAGGCTTCAGCATTCTGGGAAATGGAGATACTTTCTTATCACAGACAGTGAGATAATCTTCAGATAAATTGAGAATGCATGTCAGTGAATATTCGAAACAACAAAATAAATGATGGCATATTAAATCAGCCATTAAATTAAACCTAGAAAGCAGCAAAGTAAGCTGCAGTAGTAATTGCTGTCTAATTCTGTCACTGGTAGGTGAACTAACGCTGCTAGCAGTCTGCAGCATAGATGTACATGTTGCTTAAGGAAGCATTTCTTGTTTGGAACATTTATTTTGTGGGCTCCTAACAGCTTCTTCTTGCTGAAGTTTTTCGCAAAATCCAGAATTTTGAGTATTTTCACATATTTTGTAAAGCATAGATGCTAAATGAATACCCGGAATGCGTGTTCTGAAAAGTAGCTCTATCAAATTGGCTTGATAGGGTGTTGGTTTTTTTTTTTCAAAATTGTTGCTGATAACCAGAAAACTGAGAAATAATCACACCCCATTGAAGTCAAACATGTTAATCTGAAATTATATCTAAGAAAATAAGGGATATTTTCACTTAGTCAAAATAATTTTGTGTCCTTGCAAGACCACTGAGTTTATTCCAGCTTGGCATCAACAGTAATGAAAAATGAATTTGGCCATCTTCAGTTAGATAGTTTTTTGGCTAAATTACAAGTGGCATTTACATCAAGTGAGTGTGGGTTGCTCACAAATTGTGTGTTTAGCGGGACTTACGAAATAGGCAAATAAAATCAATTCTCAAAGCTAAATTTGCTCTGACAATAAAATCAACAACTTGCTCAAAATCAATATATCTTGATTTACTGAAATACTAAAATGTACTCTTGAAGTAAACACATAGAATAACTGCCTGTTGTGAAAACTACTATAAATGACATGCTTTCACTTTAAGGCATTCACTTTAATATATGAGTTGATTATGAAAGTGTTTAATCATTTATTCCAATATCAGGTTTGACAGAAACACATCTTTCTAATCACTCTCTGTTTGTTATTCAGTGCTTTCTCATTCTTATGAGAGAATTTTGTATTCATAACTGATAGGGGTGGGGGTAAGGACAGCTGGGGTTGAAAAGATTATGAGTTGTGGCAAATAAACTACCCGGCTTTGACTAATGGCTTTGATCTCATACTTCACTCTGAGGGTGTTAATCTGAATTTAGAAGGAACGGGACATTAGGCTGAGGTATTTATATGGTATTCTGGTCTCCTCAGTTCTGTTTCTGCGTGTGCAAAGCTAGCTTGAGTGACTTCTCAGCGCAGTGCAATTCATTTGTTAATGAGAAGCCAATCTAAAGAAAGCTGCATGTCTTAACCAGATCTGTGAACATGCTTTACACTGAGTATTTACACTCAGCACTCGCCACGGGTGCCAAAATTTTGGTGGTTACCTACATTAAGGTCAGCTATCCAGTATCTTCCTTTGTAGAGCTCGTCATCCTTTTTGTAAATGCCGACCCCAGAACTCTGAATATTGCCACATGAACAAGGGCTAAGCTTTTAAGGTAAAATATTTTTCAAGAATATCAAGAAGAGCTGCTAGTATTCCCTCAATCTGTGAGCATAAATATTCAGCTCACTAATATACAGCAAACCAGAATCTTTGGCTGATTTCCAACAAATTTGCAGAGGAAAATTGCCTTCACAGCAATTAAATTCCTACAAGTCCCATACAAAATATTAATCCAGTTACGGGAGAAAGACCTAAAGTGCCCTTTCAAAAGGAAATATTGCAGCACGGGCTTTCTTTTATTAAACTCTAGAGAATCCACTCAGGATCTAATAAATGCCCCATTCACAGGAAGAGCTTCGTTTGGTGCTTGGATTTTATTAAACTCCCAAGTCAGGCAGCCATGAGACACAAGTCCTTAGGAAACTGGACTTCATTAGATCCAGCGTTCCTAAAAGTTATACTGACATGGTGGGAGGTGTTGTGTCAAAGGAAACGTATTTCAGCTCCGGTTGAGCAATAAGCTTTCTTTCTCTTCTGCCTCCCTTGCTTTGGTGAGAGCCGAGGAGGGAATGAGCAGGTATTTCTACCATCTTGCAATTTCACCTCCTATCTTTCCTCCCATGAGAAATATGTGGGCTGAATTTCCACCACTCTGAACCTCGAGTCATTTATATTTTTGCAGTTAGTTTTTGGAACAGCGTAAACCAATCTTGAGCACATTCCCTGCGAATGAAGAGACTAAACGTTTGCAAGGAAACAGAAAATGAATCCCAAGAGCTTTCTCTTAGCCTGAAACCATGGCCTTGCTCTCAAGCTGATGTCAGTCCCAGCAGGCATGAGTCTGTGCCAAAGCAATAGCTCCGGCCTGATTGATGGTGTTAATAACTGTCACTGCTGTGTTGCAAAATGAAAGGTCTGGTTTGAAGACTTTTTCTTGACATTTGCACTTCATCAGCTTTTGTTCAGCAGTTCTCCATGTGAGGGAACCATCTATATTGTGTTGCTTCACATAAACTTCAGTGACACTGCAAAATGTTTTGCTCCCTCATAAAAATGTGTCAGTGTTACTTATGTAGGCAATTTGCTTGCATAGGTCAAATTAAAAGGCACATTTCTAGAACAAGGTTTAAAGGGGAGTGACTAGACACGGACCCACACGTGGCACAAGTGCCACATCCTGGGCAGCCTACCTTGAACAAATGATGTGTAGGAGAGAGGAGAGAGCAGTAATTCTGCTGAAGACCCACATCAAACAGAAAAGAATGCTGAAAAGCAGGAGTGAAGATGAGCAAAATCACTTTAAAATGTAGTTTG